ATGAACATAAAACTACTTATACTAAAACTAAAAATACTTAAAAGTCTTGTAAACCATTTGTCTTTAAGGAGTCAGAAAAGAGAGAGAGAGACAGAGGTCAACAGGTGTCCTGAATATCATTTTTTCACTCTGCTCAGTGATCCACTTTCTAATTGTTCCTCGTGTCCCTTGAGGTCTGTAGCACAGATTTATAGTCGCATTAACTCGTTAGAGTCCTGCCATTCTCACACTCATGTGATAAAGAGAGACTCTGGGTTCCCACAGGCCCTGTTACACTTGTTCCAACTTTTTTTTTCTTTTTTCTTTTTTAGCTGCCTGTCGCCCTCTATTGGCCACAAGTTGAACAACACAAACAGGAGTTGCCTTTTTTTATACCGGTAATTTATTTATTTATTTTTTTTAGAGTTCGTTTTAAAACGAGATGTGCTTAGGAAAAGACAGGAGGAATTCTGGTAACTACACAAAAAAAAGTCAGATTCGTTCTGTGACTGAAGGATCATTATAGAGGGCGGACGCAGGAAGGCAGCATCATGTGTTGGGTGAGTTCAAAAAAACCTGCAGAAAGTCAACAAACTCCTTTGAAATTCAAAAGTGGAAACCTGGCATAGTATTAAGATGAAACAAAGGGAACAAAAAGGGAGTGAAAGCGTAGCAACAGGACTAGAAGCAACAGTAACAATGAGGAACTAAATGAAAATAAAAAGAAGTCTTATAGGTCAGAGCGAAAACTAATTAAAAATGCATAGTTTAAAAGCATTACATAATCATATAAGTGACTGAGGTACAGAACTCAACCAAAAGTGACAAAACTAAACCAAATATTTATTTTTATATCATTACAATATCTAGCCTAATGCATACCTTTGTGATACCATATTAAGAGGAGTATCCAAATTATGTCATGGTTAAGGGAGAAAAAAATGTCAACCTTTTTATATATTAGGGAATCTAAGAAAAATATATCAAATTTTTATCAACTCTTAAACGTAAGATAGCTTTAAACATCAGGAAATTTAAGTTTGGACTATTTATGTGTTTTGCCATAACAGGGCTTCTTGGGAATTAACCGCGTACGATTGGAAAGCCTGTTTAAGTGGGGAAATACATTTATGGGGGAGGAGCAGAGTGCAGTATGTGGTTGTGGCAGTAAAAAAAAAAAAAAGGGAGTTTCTAATGTAAATCCTGCCAATATCAAACACTCTTAGATCTTGGATCAACTTGAGGTTGCCGTTTTCACCAACACAACCAGAGTGGGTGACTCGACCGGTTGAAGACTTAGGTGCCACCCCGCAGCAATATGTGATCAAGGCGATGGTAACCGAAAGCAGGAGATGCCAAGTTTTAGTGGTTGTGTGCCGTTTAGAGATGTTTATGCTGATATACTATGATTTGTTTTTCCTCCAATCAGAGCACAGTTCTTTCAGTGCTTACTTTGCAAGACGCATGTCCCTACATTAATGTTAGAAAGAGAAGACTTTTTACCCGACAACCTTTTTCTAGCAAGTCTTTTTCTAATTGCACTGTCATTAACTTTAACATTGACCATGCTAACAGAGATGTAGCTTTTGTTTGGCACAGCCAGACATCGGAATAAATTTTCATGAGCATCCGCTCCTGTAACATTCCTAAACATTTTCCAACTGTGAACAATCATTCTCACTGTATATTGACTTATCTTACAAAGGGAAGCAGCACTGCCTCTTTAAAAATTATAATTAACAACAGACTAAAGTAGCATTTAAATGCACTTATAAGCACATTTATGTATAAAGACAAAACATCAGAACACAAAACTAAAGCTTTGAATAAGTGCTGATCCAATAAACAATAATCTAAAATATGTTATTGGACCTTTGCTCTACTCAGAGCCTCTGATAGATATAACTAGTGCTTGTAATAAAAACTACAGCTATGCATCAGACTGATTTTTTATTACTATCTCAATCCAGCATGTCTGGTCAGTGAAAGGATATGCAAGCATCCCTCCAAACAGTGAGACTCAAAGCAGGCATATTTTATATGCCTGTTATTTTTACCTAAAATGGACTGAAATGTTCTCTAAAAGCCACAGGCCGGATGTGAGGCAAAGACAAGCAGCTGAAAAGTTTACTTAAGTTACCCTGTTTACATGAAGGGAGAAGACTCCCAAACCCCTCAGAGGGGTAAGTTATGTAAATTCATAATAGAACAAAATGTTATCATAAAGTTGTTTCTTTAGGTGCAGCAGAGATGCTGAATGTTACTGAGATAAATCCTTTAAAATAATTGTGTTTTCCGTAAATATCATATTTACTTTATTGCAAATAAATCAGCAAGATTATTTTGATTTAATATGATTAAAAAATTAACTTTTCTTTTCTTTTTGAAAGAAAAAAATGATTTTCCAGATAAAGGAATAAATATTCTAAATTGGAAAAACATCATTCAGACGGATATGATAGAGACTACGGTGACTTGGAAAAGTATTCATACCTCCATATGTTATCACTTTATCATCAAAGTTATGCATCTTAGTGGGATTTTAATTTACAGACCAAATGCCAGTAATGCTGAATTGCAAATTGCATAGAAGATTTCACATTATTTTCAAATAAAACTATGACACAATTTGGTTTTTGACTCCTCTCTTTCTCTGTGTTTATTATTGTTAAATTATGAAGTTGTTCTTATTAGAAAATGTCCTATTTACATTGTGCATCTCTGCAGCTCCTCCAGAATTACCATGAACCTCTGAGCTGCTTTTTCCCCCCTCACCTAGCCTTGTTTTTTTTAGTGGCCACGTCTTGATACTGTAGGTCTTAAGTTTTGTCAAAAAACGTTTTTTCATACATTGTTTTAAAGAGTTGCTCATGATTAAATCTTCTTGATTAAATCAAAGGTAAACTATTGTTATGGTCAACCTTTAGGTGTATGTCCTGCTTCTTATTTAGGGTTTAACAGAAGGCTAAAATTTGAAACGAGATGTGCTTTTCCCTTCCACTTCACAATTATGCACACCTTTGTGTTAGTTTCTCAATACTATCATAAAACACACAAAGTTTGTCATTGTAACTTGGCAGCAATCTCACTGCTGAAGCAAAATTAATTGTTATAGATGCAACTTGAGGTGAAACCTGATGTTTTCTGTACAGAGTAATTATCCACCATTCATGCCAGTTAGGTCATGCACAGGCTATATACAGTAGGAAAATAAAAGGCAAGATGTGAAAACAATATGCTTTTCTGAGGAGACTGAGAGACATTATTTAACACAGGCAGGAAAAGAGATTTCTCTTCAGCAGATGCTGAGATGTGGATGGAGTTGACGCCGCCTTCCTTAACTGTAACTGCACTTTTTATCCAGTTAAACAAGACAAAGGTAACCGCCTGGTAAATGATGCTCTCTTGGAGATGATGAGGAAAGATTAAGAAACTGGAAGGATGAAGAACGGTGATGGGAAATAATGGAGGCTACTGAATTGATGGTCAGTGTCCTTCAGGGTCCTGGAGGAGTACTCCAGGCTCCATTTTTAGGTGGCCTCAGAGAAAGCCTGTTCGATACTGCATGTATAATTAATGTGAAGTAATGCTAAACTGGGGTGTATGCCCAGCCACAAGAGGAGGGGGAGTGGGTTATTGGAGCAATTGGAGAATGAAAGGAGGATAAATGATGAAAAGACATTACTGGTGTTTTTGTTGAATTTATGACTTTATGAAGGCTTGCTATATGAGACTCACTAATGTGCTGAGTGGAGCCTTCCGGCCATAATTGTCTTGGCCATGGGGCCCCAATACAAAGAAAAACTCTAATCAAAGGGCAAAACATCATTCAGAGGATCTGATTTCTCAGTTACAGTCCCAAACGTACACAAAACCTCAAGACATAATGGATCCCAGTTTAGACAGAACACAACAGCCCATTAACCTTTTCTGCCTTCTTCCACATGGAAACTCACGAACATCTGGAAGCTAAAAATATCACAATGAGTCAATAAAAAGAACCTGAACGTAACCTACTTTAAGGGTAGAATAGAATACAGAATAATATAAAATAGAATAGAATAAAACAAAATAAAAACGATGTAACCCAAATCCAGATAAATCAAAAGATGATAGGTTCAAGTAAAAATATATTTTAAAAATTAGTTTTTTATTGCTCACTAAGTGGCGATGCACGCCTCCCAACATCTCCTGAAATGTCACTGGAAGCAGTTAGGAAGATATTTGTTATATGACACGCAAAGAAACTGCAAGTGGCAAAATTTATGTAAAAAATGTTTTTCTGGAAAAAGTAGGATGACCTGAAGAAATGTATAAACTGGGAATGTCTATGTATGCAAAGAAACATCAAGTGGTAATTAATGCAAATTAAAAAGACTGCAAAACTACACAGAGGGAAGTGATGTTGTAAAGTCCTTGGCTGCTGTGAAGAAGTTTTTCTGGAAAAAGTAGGATGACCTGAAGAAATGTATAAACTGGGAATGTCTATGTATGCAAAGAAACATCAAGTGGTAATTAATGCAAATTAAAAAGACTGCAAAACTACACAGAGGGAAGTGATGTTGTAAAGTCCTTGGCTGCTGTGAAGAAGGATCTGTGATAACTCTATTATGTGCACCTAGGATGCAGCAGTTTTTTATTTACATCACTGTTATAAAATTTTATATTTACATGAATATAAATGATGAATATGATTTTTAGGCCTTGATTGCAAACTGTTTATCAAAACATTAATAGACTTTACCCAAGCAATTATTTAAAACTAAAAATTATATCTTAATAATTATTCACTTATCCACCAATGCACTCCTTGGGCTTCAACAGCTCAGAGTAACATCAGCTTAACACTTTTTGTTCTTAGACGTGTCCTAATAACTGATAAACTAGCTTACGGTGTGATACCACTAGCTGCAAACATTTAGTGAGTTATAATTTTGTTATTTGTTGTAAAACAAGATTACTGTAAAAGCAGGTTTTGCAGATTGAATTTCGTTGACCTGTAATTACCCCTCAGTTCTTACCTTCAAATGAGGAAATGGGCTCCAGGATGCCAAACTGCTTGAGAACTGCCATGAAGAGGATGACAACCACGCCGATAGCAAAGAGCTCCATGCCCTGGATGCCCATGGTTAGAGTACAGATGGAACCCCCTTCTAAGGGCCGAGCTTAGGCACAAAGACCTGGCTTCGCCACACAGACCAGAACCAGCCAGAGTCACGCTGAGCCAAACCAGTCCAAAACAGGTGTTTTTAACAGAGGTTAGAGGTTTTTGCCCAAGCCTGACACACATATATCATGAGAACAAGGCAGGAAAAGCCAAACGAAGGCTGGTCTAATATCCACACTGATGCTGACGTGGAAAATATTTGCAAACCGACATATATGGAAAACCTCCCGGTGTTTAACCCTCACCAGGGAAAATGGAGTCTATGTGACAAGCCATCTATCAAAGAGCATTTAGGGAGGCGTTTCCGAATCACTTTTCTGACTAACTTCTGCATAAGTTCTTGCCCAGCCTTCTAACCTAAACAGATACCACCACTTCTTAAGTCATTGTTTACTAAATCAAACTCCATTTTCAGGAAGCATTACACTATTATGAAAAAGAGAAGAGGTCCAACGGAGAGTCAGCATCCATTTTCATAGTATTATTCTCATTACCCAAAGGGAGTTCTTTGGAAAGCAAAAATACAAAACATCAATGCAATCCTGAATAAATTACCCCATTATGGACCTAAACCACAGCAGTAGTCCAAAAGAACTACATCTGATAAAAACCTTCTAGAAACTGAGTACAATCTCTTTTCCTGGTGTCGCAGCGTCCATTCTAGACAAACATCTCAGATCCTTTCCATCCAAAAGCCCAAACAAACCGATCAGACTCACAAACTTGTCATCTAAACAATCCAGGTAAGCCATCCACAACCGCAGCTCCCCTGCCTCCAGTAAGTCAGTAATCCAAGCTAGGGCTTCCAGATTCAGCTCCACAGTTCACAGCTGAGCTCAGAGCTGCTGTTCAATGCAAGTGCAGATATAAGAGCTCACTTAGCAGCGTCCAGGCAGGGAGGTCCTGAGAAGCTGAGAGGTGCTGTGGAGAGTGAACCCTCCTCCCCTGATGCCTACCTCTTCCTCATCTACTTTTCCACCACTCCTCTTTTTCCCTCACTCTCTGCAACTCTCTGAATGCATCTTTTTGCAACTTCTTAGTTCATTCTCATTAAAAGTCCCATCCACCAAAATGTCCTTTTCTTTTCAAGGTCAACCTTTACCCTTCTCCAGGTCTCCACCTTAACGTCTGTCTATCTGCAGTGCCTCCTCTAGATTCACACCTTTTTTTTGTTACATTAAAAACACAAAGTTAAAGAAATTAAGTACTGTTACAAAGTGATGCATAGTTGTAGATTATAAAAACAACTTAATTTAGGACAGGAATTTGAGTTTGTTACTCAGACACTGAGCAGCTAACCCCTTGTAGTATAAACCTCAAAGGTTTGATAGAGGGCAAATGAAAAACATTGAACAACCAGAATCATGGAGAGCCAGAAACACAGTAAACAGAACAAGAGGACGGTTCTGAAAGGTTTAAAGTGGAGTTAGCTTATAAAACAAAGTCCTGAGCTACAAATACCTCACAGAGCAACAATCTATCCAACATTTATAACAGGGGAAATAATAGCACAACTGCAAACCTACCAGTATCAAGAAATTAACGTCAACTTTTACTTAATCTGAGCAATAACCTGAGAAGCAACACTAAGATCTATGAGGTTCAATAGGATATCTTTAGTTACAGCTCTAATCAAATAGAATAGAAAAGAACAGAATAGAATAGAATAGAAAAGAAAAGATCAGAACAGAATAGAATAGAAAAGAAAAGATCAGAATAGAATAGAATAGAATAGAATAGAATAGAATAGAATAGAATAGAATAGAATAGAATAGAATAGAATAGTCATCCACACAGTAAAGTCAAATATGCAGGGCAGAGCCTTTGGCAACAATGGCCAACATATCAAAGAGGAATGGCAATGCGAAGTTAGCCGCTCAAGCTAGCATTTATTACATCCACTTTAATTGAACATGTATTATGTTAGTAAAAAAAATTCTCTACTCATTTTTGATCATGTATCATTTATAAATGTTATGTATGAGTCAACTGAATATGGCTGATTTAGGATGTTAAAAAAGGGCTCTGTGTGTGCACCTTGATGCTCTATCTCTCCGGGTCTTTTCCCTGAATAGAGATCACTCTGGACAAAACCTTTAAATAATACTTCATAACTTATATTAAATTACCAGGAGACATGACAATAGATTCTGGTAGAAATTGTAATCTTACTCAGATCAGAGAAATTGCTTAGGGTTACTGAATGGCAGCTGCTCACCTCTGGCCTCACCTCTCAGAAAGTAGCCCAGATTAACAGTTAAAAAGGCATTTTATACATCTCCAGTCTGCCACATCATCTTATTTTACATCATACATCATTAGCAGATGATTAGACACCCATGGCTCCAGCTTTATCAAAATATTACACCTCGTTCTTAGCTGAAGGACACCTCTCTCATACATTTCCAAATCTTTGCCACGTACAGAATGAAGATTATAACTGTATATCCAGACAGAGGAACTGTCCTAATTAAATTAAAACATCAGTTCTGACACGCAACAGGCAGCCAACACCAAGCAGTAATAAACTCACACATCTTCAATGATAATTATCCTAACAATTCCCCCTGAAAAGGTGACGTTTAAAATGTCACCTTTAAACAAACCCATTAATGTCAGCTCATGACCAGGATATTAATCATAGAAGAAAAGTTTAAGTGCTGTGTCTTTCAACATCATAGAATCATGGAATCAACAATCAACAGTCCCCCTGATGATTTAGCATTAATCAGGGATCAAAAGTTATCACCATAAAAACTTCACAGACCAAATGTTGTCACTCAAGACCACAGTTTCAGCATTTAACTACAATTTGAGTTTCATCTAATTAAAGGAAGGTTGTTTTAGTTTCCTATGTGAACATTATTTAAATTTATTTCATTATGTACATCTAGATTTAAAGAAAAAAATCACATTTAACATAGCAAACATCAAAAATATAAGATGGAGTACAACCTCTCAATCAGTAAGCTGTTTCATACTAGTTATATATTTTGCAATACAGCACCTCGGCTATACTGGATGCCCTAGCAACCTAACATTTTTGGTCTTCTGGTGGGGCCACTCTGCTATCTCCATGGCTTTGATGCAAGGTAAGAAAGGTAAGTTAGGATGAAAGAGACTCAGACTCTGAGTACTGTATAGTTCTGTATATATCACTTAAAGACCTTTTTTAGTTATGGTTTGGCATATTTATGCAAACACAGGACATTTACAAAAAGTTAACCAGAGTAAATAATAGCCGCAATATAAACAACTTATTGAATTTGTTAAAAACAGCAATGGCTATAGAGTATAAATGCTTCTGGGAGGAAGGACCAGCAGCAAATTTCTGTAGTGCAGTTTAGAAGTAGCAACTTGGCCCTAAGGGCCCCCCTCAGCTCTACATGCACTGGATAAGATGTCGGTTATTTATTTATTATATACAATTTACAATGAAAAGATTTTTTTATTCCAAAATTTGCCTTTAAGCCCCAATTCTATACATATAAGCTTAAATAAATGCAAATGATAAAATACCCCTCAGAAACTTGCAGCTCGTTCCTATGCTTTTTGCTCCTACCAACAAGTGTTATTCAGGTTGGTTATTTAACATCTCTTAAAGGCAGAAAGAAAAAATATATATTTTATTTAAATTAGCTGGTTACCTGTGTGTTTCTTCTGCTTTATCTAATAAAAAAAAAAAAACATTAATTTTGTGTTTGGTAACATTGTCCAGACAGAACACATTTTTTTTTTTTACATGTTAATCATTCAACAAAAACTCCCTTTCTCAAATTAAAAGAAATTGGTTTCGTTGCTTATTATAAAAAAAACAAAAAAACTAACAAGTCTCAAGTCTGTATTGATTTGGAAGCTGTATAACACCACAGTCAACAGTAAGGTAAGTTCAACTTTAACTGAGAGGAGGCTGACCAAAACCAAAGCACTGTATTGAAATCAACATCTTTGTGCACAACTGACATTAACAGCTGGCTGACTGGACAAGCCAAACAGTTCTGGAGAAAAATTTTGGGTTTAACTGAGATAAAGATTAATTTTCGTGGTCGAATCATGCTCAGAATGAGGACAACATATCACATTCTTCAATTAAAACATTTGTAAAACTTTGTAATTAGCACCCATGCATCAAACCCATTTGGAAAGGGAAAGTCAGGCTAAACAGCCTCTGGATTGGTTCCAACCCAAGGTCTGAGGAAAGTTTATGGTCCTGACATAGAAGCAACATCTGGTAAAATTGATTGATTCAGTGTATGCAGATATTTAAGGCTGTCAGTTTAACTCTATGTGAATGATGCAGCCAGATCTTCTTCAGTAAAATTTCTGTTGTAATATTAGTCAAATATAAAAATCCCTAAAATTAATAACATGCATGGGATTTTGTGTATCATTAAAATACTTATTTGCACAGTTTTTGACTATTAACCAATCCAAAGCTCAGATTTGTGGATAACATCTTTATTTTGCCCTTTTCCCTGAAGCTGCTCTTTGCTTTCGGTGTTTTCAGATGATGCAAAGTTAAATTAGCTCTCAGAAAGATCAGGTTACAGAGGTATCTCTCTACTGCAACAAACTCATCTCTACACCTTTAATGGTTTAGCAGATATGTGCTGTAGATAACCCAGAGGAAATGTTGCTGAGTATGTCAGAGCAGGATAAGTTATGACTCCGCAGGTACAAATGCATCAGCATAGAGCGTGTGGGTATGTGTGTGTTTACACATTGGCTTATATGGGAGTCCAGAGTAAGAGAGATCAATAGCTTTATGGAGGTGTAACTGTACGGAAATATAAGCGGAACAATTAAGATAAAATGTTAAAGATGAAATCTCGAATCCACCTCAGCAGTGGAAATGGGCCTCTGCCCTAATTAGCAATTAATTACAGTTGAATTTTCTGTCCAAATAGTACTTTTGATGAGTAACATTGACTTAGAACTTCTAACCGTTCTCTCCTGTATATTGATGCTTTGGTATTTGCTCGGTCTTCACAAAGAGAGTGAGTGTGTGCTTCTGGGACCGGGCCATTAGAACACTAACAGGTTTTTAAAAGGTGGGCCCGGTCCTGCCTGCTGACACAACATTCTGCAAACAGGGAAAGAGGATCCATAAGGTTTCCTGCCAGACATGTTGGCAAAGACATTCATAGAGAGGAAGTCCCCAGTTGGAGTTATATCTTGACCTACCTTATTTATTTCTAAAAGATAGGTATTCTTTTTTGTTTTTTACCCCAAACTTTATACATATTTTTTTTAAAGATTGTTTACAGACTGGTATTTTAACTCCTTTAAAAAATGAAAAATAAATAAATCATATTAATTACAAACAGATGACCTGATTTTAAAATTACCTTCCAAGTTTTTCAGATGTTCAGACTAATTGAACTTAGACTGATCTGAAACTGATGATCTCCGACCTTGAAATCACCACACTAGGAGGCACAATTGACAGCCATGAAAATGAACTGATAAAAGATATAAGACTATTTGGTTTAAATAAAGATGCATAAGAATTCAATTTCATTTCCCAACACTTTTGAAAAAAAAAAAAAAACATACTTAGATGAAAATACATTTAATTAAACACATTGCAAAAGCTCACACGGCAACAATAAAGTATCCACAATAAAAACATCAGAATCTATGATTTATAAAAAAAAAATAGCAACACTGTTTTAAAAATCAAGGGTTTAGCAAGTCTTTTCAGATAATAATAAACACACGGAGGAGAATGTTTATCATTTTGGTATTTATTTGTGTTTGTATTTCCGGTAATGTCTGAGTAGTTAATTATTTTTCAACTGTCTTTTTTCTGTTCAGTTCATTAGTTTGTGTTCATTATTGATAAAAAGGTGTTTCTATATTAGATAAATCCTATGTTTTTGGTATATTAGTCTATTCTGTTTCTTTGTGCATTTGG